ATTTATATCATCTGACCAATCATAGCGAATTATTTTAATTTCACTGATCGACCAATCACGAGAAAGTTATCCTATATAGTGTACCCTGCCCGGAGACTTTCCCGTTTTTATTGGCTGTCCCCCGTGACCGTGATGCAAGATCAATTGCCCGGGTAATTTTATTTATACATTTTAAATGGATCAAAAAGATTCGTCGTATGTATGTACGTACGTACGTAAGCAGTTATACGATCATTTACAGTTATGTATAAATGAATGCTGCCAAATTTAAAACCCGAACTTAGAAATTTACCATGATCAGCTACTAGTTTTAGTTTGGCGACACTCAAATAGTGATAAAAACTCGTTGAACAATTCTGAAATAATGTCTTCTTATTTTGGTATATACCGATATCGATAGATTTATCATTATTTGTTTCTATTTTCACTCTTACGATTCTTATATATTCAATTCTTTCAAATGCAGATGAAAAAGGGTTGCCTGACCCAACATTTCAGAAAAAATCTACCTCATCCAACAATAACAATTTAAATCCAGACGTTTCCAATTTTTTTGGTACAAGTAGTTCCGGTTCGTCAAATAATTTAGGTGATGAAAACGCATATGATACTTTAGAAGAATACATTAATTTGGCAAAGTACGAATATTTTATTTTATTTTATTTTTTCAAAGAAATGATATCTCTTTATTTACGCACAAATTGTCTTTTATAAGTCTTTTTGGTACACTAAGAGATAGATCAAATAGTAGAGCTAATGATAGTAATCAAGAATTCTTAGATAACTTGATTTCACAATTATTGGAAGAAGCCAATGCAAGGTAATAATCAACACTTACCACATCACATATTTATAAACTTATGTATGGTTAAATAAATATTAATTAATAGTTCAAGGGGACCCCCACCAGCTAGCAAAAAATTTATTCAAAGTCTACCTATCGTTAAGAAGTCGGAAATCAAGCCCGGTATAAAACTATCCTAATTGTTATTTAAATAAAAAAATTTGCTGATTTATCTTTTTTTTTTTAAAAAAAAAAAAAGATGATACGTGCCCAATATGTGCAGAAAAATTTTTATCAAATACGACTCCAAATAATATCGTAACTTGTATGCCATGTAAACATATGTTTGATAAAGAATGTATTTTACCCTGGTTGAAACTTGTAAGTCACACTTTTAACATATCTCATTCAACAAGTTTCACTTTCAATTTTTTATTTAATGTCTCGATTTTTGTGAACGACTAAAAAAAAGCATAATACATGTCCAAGTTGCCGTCATGAAGTGGATTCCGATGATCCGGCTTGGAGAAAAAAGCAATTGGAGTTACAAAGAGCTCAAGACTCTGAAGAAGAAGATCAGGATTGGATGTACGGTTAACCTGTATGGGTCATTTAGCATTCATAAAAATACGACCTTGGAAATTTAGTTTACATATTTTAGTAAAAGTTATTTTTTTATGTATTTTTTTTTTGTTATTTTGTAGGTATTGTTTGTACGTTTCTTATAAAAATTACTCATAACTACTGTTTCATATTTCTCGTTTGGAATAATAATATAATATAATGTTTTCAATCACAGCTAACATTCTAGAAATCAATAATTATCTATGGTTCATATCAATCATTAAAACAAATTAGAAATTATTTTTATTGGTGGAAATTTTTGCGCTGGGCAATAATATACTGTCAACTCTAAGTGCATCATAAGGTAATGGAATCCGTATTTAGAATAAAAATATATGTAATGTATGATGATTAAATATACTTGGAATAAAAACAATAATTTATATTTGGTATCAAGACTTGCACTTAGAAAATGAATTGACTTTGCATATATCCAGCTCCTAGAGGATCTGAATTTTCTACAAAATTTCTCATTTAAACATTTGTGATAATATATTACGTTTAAAAAAATTGATATATAATACTTTTTACTTGTTCCGGCAACAATTCTTTATCAAATAAAGAAGGGATTCGGTAGGCTCCTATTTTTTAAAAATATAATTTCAGAAAAAATATATATCGGTGTGCACCATGAGTTACAGATGTAATGTTTTCTATATCTACTTCAGATAAGTCTTTGGCCTTGTCTCTTTGATCTTGCATGTTTAATAATACTAAATAGAAATATTCTTTAAACAATATATAGGCAATTGTTATTTATACTTTTTTATTTTTACATTTATATACACCCCTACTTTTATAAAAAAAATATTTAAAAATGTTACGTAATATAATTATAATACAAAATAATATATAGTTTATATCTTATTTCTAATTCGGCTATCCCACTCTTATTTTATTTAGGTTTAAATTATTCAAAAAATTACAATAATTTTTATCTATGATTATTATTAACCAACAAAAACAAAGGTTTGTCCGCAATACACCAGATGTGACTTGCCTTAGTAGCACTTGGCCTCTCTTCAGGTTTTTAACTTACTAAGGACTTATTTCCTATTGTTTATTGGCTAGTTATTATATGCTTATCAAGAAGCAAAATAAGAAAGTAAAAACAAATAAAATTAAAAAGAAATATAGAGATATAGGAAAATATAATAAAATATACAAACAAGAAAAGAAATAGATAAAAGAAATATTAAAAACAAAAACAATCTAAATTTTGTTTATCTTAATATTACAATTATAAGCCTGTAAGAGGTTTATAAAAATTACATATTATTAAACAAATTAGTCTTTATTCTAAATTTATCTAAATAGTATATGCAAGTAAAAACCTATTGAAAAAAATTCATCAACTTTATTGTAAAAAGGTTAAAAAAAAGTCTTAGAATATGTAATATATCAAAAAAGTAATTTTTGTATTACAGTGTATAAAAATTAGAGTCTGTCACTTTGTTATAGACTATTAAATTAAATATAATTAAATCTTAATATTTCATAATATAATAATTAGAATTATATAATTTTAGTATTATTAAATTTATTATATTAATATAATTTAATAACAATAATACTAAATCATACCTGTGATGCTAATCTATATGCTAACTTTCTATGTAGTTAATTTTATTTAATTAAATTTATATAGTTTAGAGTATTTTTATCTTCTAAGTAATTTGTTTTAAAAAAAATATAAACCTGTTTATAATACTATAGAAAACTTTTTGCAAACAAAGCTTTAAATATCTAGAATTCACTCTATCTAGGTATACTTCATTTAAAAATAAATTTTAAGCTAGAAAAATAGTAATGTATAATAAATATATATATTAAAGTTTCTAATTAGCTTACAAAAGCATAACTAGCTTGCTTAAGAAAAAAGTTTAAAATATATAATAACTTTATAACAATATTAAATTAAAATAGTTTATAATACTTAAAGTAGATATGAAAAATATTAGTAAGTAGTTTTATATTTCAGTATTCTGAAATTAATGCACAGATTCAAGATTTTTAGTACTATTTAAGAATATAATAAAAAACTTAAATTTAAATTTTTTTTAAAATAATAAACAGTCTATATTTAAGATAGTTTTATTATATATTGTGAGATATATATCATGATTTTATAATATTTAATATATAAAAAATTTTATTATAATTTATATGATAATAGATATATATTATATATAATTTTTCTGTTTAAATTAAATTACAGTCAGGGATTTTACCATATTTGGCGATTGACAATCGCACTATATTTAGAAATGATTATCAATAGAATTATTCTAGATTTCTTTACTAGATTGTTCTACGTATGACAATTATTAGCCAATCAAATTTAAAGCCTATATTAATCGATTTTACATAGCCACGAAAATGCTTAATTCTTGAATACTAGAATAAAGATCTTGATAAATGACCTACTACAACAGAAATTATCGAAATAACACATTAGTTAGATGAAATAAAACAGGATAATAATATCAAAACCCAATTTTTAGAAGCCAATAAAATTAAACATGTTGCATAACTTATTATATTTTTCAAACTTCATTGCTCATACACTAACTCTTTCTGTTTTTTTTGAATAAACAGAAATTTAATAATTATAAAACATTTTAGGGGATTGTGTGCCATCTACATAGTGATTTCAAAGACATTCTATACCCTTGTGTTAGATTTAGATTACAAGGAGAATCAGTAGAAGTGAACTTTGGCAAAAGAAGATTTGAATATTTGGGTAAATTTATTCAAAGTGTTTAATTGTTTTAAAAGATTTTAACATATTAATTGAGTTTAGTTAGACCATCTAATATTAAGGCACATTTAGATATTTCGAACTTCTGAGATGTCCTTAACAACGTTAAATCTCGAATATAATAATCTTGGATCCGAAGGCAAAAAAGCATTAGCTGATGCACTTTGCAAGAACCACCTTAACATCGTTATATCTTGATAATAATAAACTTGAATCAAACATAGAAAAAGTATTTGCTGATGCAATTTGCAAGAATTCTGTGCTAAAATATTTGAATTTTCGTGTTAATAATCAAACAATTTCATTATTAAAATAGATTCGCTTTGCAAGAATGCTACACCAAAAGATTTGGATTTTTATGAAAATGATCTTGATCAGCTAAATATGTAAAATTTTTAAGATCCTCATTTAAATCATATTCTTCTAGACTTTAATTCACAAATCCAAGATTTCGCAGATGAATTCGAAATCTTTGGCATTCCATACTCGATTCGGGCTGAATTCTTGGTCCAACCGCTTGATGACTGTTATAACCGATTATATTGAATAAGTTGTTCCGAAGCTAAAATTTTAATTTAAGATTAAAAATTAGAATACTGTAACAACTATTTAATTAAATAATTTTACATACCCTGAAGAATTTTTTACAATTTCGCGCAGCCATTTGCCAATGTCATTGTTGTGGGATGGAAGGTATTAAAGTTTTCAAGGTTTTGTTTATCTTCTCTATGATTGCATCAAGGCCTTGATGCTGTTCAAAAATATCTGACTGGGAAACAACACAATTTTTTCTATTATATTGTATATTCTTGGGCAAAGCCTCATCAATTGAACTTCGTCAGAAACTTCTATGAGACGATAAATCGGATGGCGTCTTGCAGACCAAACAGGAGAAAATGCTCTCCTCACAGCTGTTTTTAAAAAAAGATTGTTAGTTCTTATAGCTTTTCGATAGTTAATTATTGTCTGAAGATAAATAAATGTCTGTTATAATAAATTTAATACTTATTAGTAATAATGTATTAGATGGATTTAGTGCAGTATATAGAACAAATCACTAATAATTATCTGTTCAAACTTTATCTGGTAAAGTGAATCATACTGATCCTTAGCCCAAGCAAGATATCCTTCAACCGACAAGTTAGAATGATTTTTTACATACGGCCACATGAGTTCTATAGAAATTGCTTGAGATATATATTACAAATTGAATCCCAGGACTTGTGATAGTTGGCACATTTCTTGAAATAGACGAGTTGATTTTCTGTCCGATAACCCTGACATCTTGCGAATCGCTTGATATCAATTTCCCTAATTCATAAAAAAAAAAAAAGACGATTTTTAATTGCTTTATTTTTTGAAATATCACAAATTATTACGAATACTTAAACAAAAAATAACCTACCAATTTAATTCCACATATGCTTGAAGCATATTTATTTCCTCATGTAATTGTCCCAGTATGAGAATCAACCAAGAAAATTTTTCCTTTAACTTGGTAGCATGATAATATAGAATACCATCACAGGCTACTGCTACTCCTTTTGAGTTTCGTTCTTAATACCCGATAATTTTCCTATATGTAAGAGAATCTTTTCAATATTCACGATTGAATTAAGGTTAATATTAATTGGATCAGATACATGAATTTTGGGAACATTAACTCCTTGATCAACAACTTGCTGCTGGTTATGACTGATTCTTGGAATATGCGCATCACTTGGTTCATTACTAGTATTATTATAAGGTTTAAAATAAATAAATAAATTAGTTGATTGATTATCTATATGATTTTCAACTTCAATTTCTTTTTCTTTTTGAATTTTGGCCAATGTTGGTAATCGTGCTCCACACGTTGGGCATGTTTTCTTTAGGTTTTCGATATTTTGTTGGTTGCAGTTAGTGCATCTTTTCATCTTTGCAGAATTTGTTGCTATAGATCAAGATAAGCATATAATTCTTTATTAAGAACTTCTTGCATTTGAGAGCTGATATCAAAAGGCTCTTTGTACTGTAAATTGCAAAGAGAATCACATGTCCAAGGAAAGTTAGTATGCTAAAGTTTGTTTTAAGATGATATATTAAAAGCAACAAAACTGGTAACAGTGTGGTAAACCACCATATTGAACCCACGATCAAGATAATTTTTTTGCTCTCGTTGTTTATTATCAAACACGATGAATAAAAGGCCTTCAGGCAATGGCTCTTCATAT